TCACTTCATCTCAAGTACATTTTGCAGACTGAGTTAGTGAAAAGCTGAATTATGAATTGATTTCGCATTAGATTACTACTACTTTTTTACGATAGGACTCCAGTATGAATGATTTTGGCAAGATTGACGCTATTGCTGCTAGAAATCCTTCCTTTCCTCAAAACGAAAAAAGTCAATACTTGCGAAAAAGATTATATTCCCAACTGCTGCTGGGTGTTTTCTCTTGACCTTGAACTTTTATATTGAATCTTCCGTAATACTTGAGTAGTCAATAGATAGTTTAAGAAATTCTGACTCTAGTACTAAGCTTGTTGTTCGAAAATAATCCCGCGTAGATTCTAATAAAAAATAAAAGAGATATTTTGCAATTGCAAACCAATTTTTCTAGTTGAAAGCGGACTTTTTTTTGGTTTATGTAGTTATATTGCTATTCCTATAGAATTTCTTTGCTAAAAAAATTTTGAAATATCATCGATAGACTTTTGCAAACGTATTTCTAAGGAGAATAACGCTCAACTGTTAGTAAATCCTTACTTTTGAAAACGATTTCTGTCACATGCAATCGCGACATTTCAAGAATTACGATGGTGAGGCTTTCATTATTCTAGAAAAAACATATTCCTTTAGATTATTAGTATTCATTCGGTAGCTGAAATCAAATGAACTTGAATGGTGTATTTTATTTCTCATATGGCTTATTTTTTGCGCTGTAACAGCAGGAATAAACTTTTGTTTCACATTTGAGGATTTCTCGCCGGATAAAGTTTTTCTTCGAGCAGTCAATAACCATTCGATAGTGCAAATCTCAACAATTTTAAGGACACATTTAATTTCTCAGAGTTTGCCCTTCAAAATGTGGGAGTTCGCGAAAATGGCCTTAAGTCACCGTGTCTTTAGCAACAGATCAACTAACTGCGAAACGTAATCTTCTTTTGGCTACTACAGTGCAATGAAGAATTATTTTGAAAACAAAGTTGTTGTGGAAATCGTCGAGATTTGAACTATCGAAGAGTTATTAGAAGTCCACCGGAAAAGCTGGCTTTATTAGGAAATGGTTGAGTGCGAAAGATATTTTGATTTTCACTGTTAGAACGCATTAAGGGAGTCATTTAAGAACAAGTATACAATCATGATTTCTAAGGTTTAAACTATCGAATGGTTAGTATAACTCTGACGAAAATCAGGAAACGCGTTTATCCTAAGAGGTCAAAGCAGAATGTGAACATCGAAAACTATCCAAATTTGCGAACTCTAATCTTTTGACCGTTACTACACTCTGAGAAGTCCTCTATCAAAGTCAAGTACACCGTTGAAATGTCTAAAATTTCCATAGCTAATGATTATCAATTGCTTAGAAAAAAGCTTCATCCGGAGAGAAATGTTGAATGTGAAACAAAATATTTTCCGACTGTCGCATCGAGGAAAACAGGTCATTTAAGAAATAAAATACACCTTTCAAATTCATTTGATTTTAGCTATCGAATGACTACCATAACGTTTTATACGTTTCTACCAAAGGCTCAAACAGGTGTGGAGAGAACGGGAAAGAACCTCTAAATCTCATTTCTTCTCCACATACCATAGCTATGAATAGAGAATTCGAACGAAACTATGCATAGGTCTGAGAAATGGCATTCTGAACTGCGCTCATAATTAAAAAAATACCATGAATTATCGATGAAGTGAGTTCGCATGTAACAAGCAGCACTGTTTTTGACGAACTACTCATTGGCTTTTAATTTTCAGCCAGTATAATTGATAAACCCCATGATATGGAGTGGTGTGCGAAAGCACTTGCGTCAGCGGGGATTTGAACCCAGATCCTACTCTTTCCGGGAGCATGTGCCAAACCGTTCCACCACTGACGCTCGTTTTGCACTCCACTCTTTTTACGCTACAACGCGTTATCCGTCAACAGCCAACTGTCTACGGTGTGACGGGGCAGTCATCGTCGCATTGAACCTATTTATGGTGGCAGATATTGGGTTTCAATATCCAATCGGAAATCATTTTTTGACCGCCTATTGCACTGTTATGATGTTACAAGAAGCCCAATGATGTGGATATAGTATAACTAATTTTATGCACTTCATGCAATAAAGTATATGAAAAGTTGGAAGAAGTAGAATATGAATTTGTTTGAATCGTAGGTAAGTATAGATAGAATATTGTATAAACATTCGCTAAAACTTCTAAGTATAGCCTTTACATGAATATTTGGTTTGTTTCCTCAAAAGTGTAGGTTATGAATGGGGCAGTTACGTTATTTTCAATAAAAATAACCTTTCTGAGGTCTGTTCTATCATGTCTGACCATTTGTTGACACAGAAAATCCCACATGTTGACGAAAAAAGTACAAATGTCGTTATAAAATTGCCACATTAGCGTTGGAGAAAGGCAACTATTCGCTGGGCAAAGATTGGATGCGTCACTCCCAGAAAGAATGAGGTTGGCCTTCAAAGAAGTCGGTGAGATTACTATTGAGTGGTTGTAGTTCTGGAAAAATTTTGTTCTCCCAGTATAAGGCGCAGAAGAGATGATATTTCGGATGAAGTAATATCAAGGATATACGGTGGTTGTGGAACGGTAGTCCAGTCTAGTTTCTTGCAAATTGTAGCAACCCGACTTTGCAGCGTGAAGTCCAGTGTCATCTTAGAGAAGGGCGACGCTGATTCGTTTTGCACGCTTATCTCACACTGCCACGACCAACTCTTAAAGTTGTTATCTTAGACGCCGGCATTGATTGTCTGCTTGCTGTCAAGCAGTTCCTCAAGTAACATGTCGTGCCAATCCCGAAACCGAGAGCTCAATCTTTCGAGCATAAAACTTGGGCATTGGTTGAGCTGGCGAGTGATTATACTATATTATATTTTATATCCATTTGTAATGGTCACTTCAATGTCGGGGAATTTGTCACCTGACTTGCGGTGATTTGTTTATTCGGTGTCGATTCGCTTATAAGTAAGAGGTGTGTTCTCAAGGATTCGGCTGAAGCGAAAGGCACTGTGCTAGTGATGAGCCTGCAAGGGCGAAACGAGCCCGTCCAGTACTGTATAAGTGCCCTATTGGACTTCACAAAAAGATAAAAACATGTTACGTGATTATTCCATTTTATTAAGATTGCGAGCGATTGTGCTACGGCCTTATCGCAGTTTTACTAGAATATTTTCCTACATATCACAGCCTCTTGGTAATAACCTAGTGTGGAACAAAAAAATAATCTAAATAAAACTATAGCGCGAAAGAAATCATTGGACAACCTAATATTTTTCATTACTCATGCCAAGGTTTATGGGAGGTTGATCTTTTGAACTGATACAATCTGACACCACTTTACTGACTCCAATGAGATGGAATGCACAGTGAGATGGTACAGCGCATTCAAACTAATGAACACGTGTGTAATTTAAGGCACCTCTGTCCACTGCACCACACACGTTCTTCGAAATCATGTTCGTCGGTTCAAACTTCTCATTGAAAATAGAGCAGCTCACTGAACGGTATAAACTAGCTCTCCTCTAATAACTCACTAAACAATAGGGGGTAGTATTAGGTTGAAAAGAAAATTTCCATCGTTTGGATGGGAATGCCGTCTTTCCGCATGAATCGTGTGTGATTTCCATATCATTTGAAAAGTCTTCTTCTGGCGCATCTATTGATATATAGATTGCCGATATCTGCAGCAGAATGGAATTGTCCAAGGAAACAAAAACGTTTGCTGATCCTTCACGAGGACAAATTTTGATCAAATGCTGCTCATGCTGCTCGCCGAATCAACAAAGCTTGGGGCTATCGTACGGTTGGAGAATCAACAGTCATCAAGCGATTTCGTGAGTTCAAGGCCCGAAATGAAGAGTTGACCGGCAGACCGAGATCCGGACGACCAACCGAACTCGATAATGAAGACTTGGTTTTTGTTCTGGAAAATGAGCCATGATTAAGTTCTCGTGAATTGGCAGCAGAACTAGGCGTTTCTCATACAACCGTGCTTACCTGGCGCATCGATGCAAAAAGCGGTGGATTATAATGGTTGTATATTGAAGAATAGTTGTTGCCGTTTGTTGTCTGAATATATGATAAATTTTGAATGTTTTATCAAACGATGGAAACCTTTTTCAACCTAAAATTTCATTTGTTCATGTCGCCTGTCAATTTTTTACTTTGATCACAAGGATGAGCGTCATGAATTTTCTGCATTTCCTTCGTTTATGAAGAAGTCTTGATCACTGCGGCGATGTTTCTTCTTTTTGTCTACAGTCTTACTGACATTCTTCTGAATCCACATATCAGCAATTCCTGTACAGTTAGTGCAAGTGAGACACGCTTCCTGTAAACTTCATTTAGATATCGAGGAAATTCTTAGCTTCCCGTCTTGTTGCTTTTTCAATATTATATGAAGAGACGTAACTACACAATCACAATAACTCGATGTTTTCAACAACTTCCTACAATTTTTCCATAACTAGCACACTTGAAAACCTGATCTCTTGAGAAATTCTGCAAAGACTTTTCTGTATCAATTCAAGGGCATGTGCATATTTTCATCTTCAAACCTCAACCCAATTCATACAGAATTCTAAAAAAGTGTAATAGAGCAAAGACTGCTCTGAAGAACTCATAACACAAACACAACAAGTGTCACTTTAATCACCTTTGAAGATACCGTCGTTTCCCACGGACGCTCAATGAAGAACAAAAGCAAGGAAAATGAAAACCATTTTCATCTTCAGGATACTAAAATTCTCAGTAATCCAATAATATGCTAAGCTTCGATGCCAGGGGGGACTGAAACCACAATACACCTTTCCAGTGTACGTGCTTAACTGATTGCACTACCAAAGCCTGCTTTGCCACCACTCGTTCTGCTCTACAACGCAGTATTCTTTCAGCTGTCAACCGTCAATGGTTTAACCTGGTAGTCGATTTTGACAATGAACATTATCACGCTAGCAGATATAGGATATATGTATGATTAAACAGAAGAGCGGTGACAAAAACAAGCGCCAGTAGTGCAATGGGTTGAGCATACGCTGCCGGAAAGGGTGAAATGCGGGTTCGAGTTCCGTCTGACACATGACTCAACATTCTTGGGTGTATTAAGAACATCATACCACCTCTCAAAGCGGTTAGATGGAAAGAATTCTTTCTCATCATGCTAAAATTTCATTGTAATTGTATAAATATGATTGTTCCTTGAAGCGGCATACGCCGATTTTAAAAGCATCGACACTTATGAAAAAAGTATTAATTCAAATGATAATATGCTCGCTTGAAAGCAAACCTAAATTAATCCTGGCCATATATTATTCATATATAGCTCATATCTTGACAATCCACAGATGTTCTTGATTAAAGAACCTCTGCCTGGATAGTCGCGAGGGCGTGTGGCGAGTCCACAGTTGGTGAATAGGGAAATCAAATGCGAACTAAAAGCGACCATGCGCTTCCCAGAGACCAGATGAACTCAGGGGATAGACTTCATGTATCTGCAGTGCCAAATTTGCGTAACTTTATTTGTTTGAGCCACATTGACTAAGAACCTAAATTAGAGCAGGTCAGGACGTATATGGGATATTGTTAGAAACTTCAAGTAAATAAGCTCCTATTATCCTTTTGGAAGAGGCTAGCAAGCAACCTGCAAACACCCAGCCATCACCTGCAAAGCCCAACAAGCTATACGTCGGGTTTAAGAGGGCACATGCAGCATAGAAAAAGGGCCTCATTTCTGTGGTTTCGAAAAAGCCCCCAACACTGCAGCGTCGGGAAGAAGAGGCATTCAAAATCTTAGGGTCATGCTAGACTACCAAAATCGCAGCGCTAAGGTGAGATTTGTATCTGTGAAGCCACACTTGCGTACGAATTCTTCATAGAGGATTGCTATTGCAAGCAAGAATGATAAAGTACGACGTCATCGGCATGGCCAAGACGAGCAGCCGCCCACTCACTTCATGCTGTGACACCGCCGTGGGAATCGATCTTAGGAGTGTTAGTGTCGTTGGTGTTCTCGTTTAATTCACTTAATAATGAACGTCGACTTTTGAACAAGAATCCGTAGCTGACGCTTACGCTTGGAACGACGTAGATCATTACCAGCTTCAACCATCTTCGTTATTTGCATACCAGCATCAAGTTGTGATAAAGGTGGAGTTGAAGCTTTCCATATAGACTGAAAAGGCACTTCAGAGAAGGTGATACATTCCTCAAGTTCCTCGATGAAGGTTTTGACGCAAAAACGTTCCTAGAAAAATGTCTGAAGAACGTCACATCGAGATCCACGCACTAAAATGGAACGAGCGAAGTGAGAGGTTGTCTGTGTTTATTGTGGTAATCAAAACCATTCAAGGTGACACACAGTTCAGAAGCCTCACTCACAACAGCAGGAGTAGGAGTCTTCTAATGGAAAGCAACATAACGATAAGCACATATCAGTAAAGCAAAGATTCGGCCTAACCGATGTCGCTGTTGTTCCAAAATTCTACAAAGAATCAGGCTATAGTCTCCTTCGAGCAACATTTCATTTTTCGCAAAGAGAAAGAAAAGCCTCTAAAATTCTAAGAGCAAAATCTCAAAATTATCATAAACTTGGATGTATGAAATTACTAGTTGGCTCCTGGCAACATAGCCGTCATAAACAACATCAATGAAGAATCGACCGACTCATCCATCTTTACGTTAGAGTTATGAAAGCCGACAGTCCGAAGGTCACCAAGAGACTTTTGTATTCAAAAACACTCGAGATGTGAGATTACACGAGCCCACTCGACAAGTCATGTGCGAACTGACAAAACACGTCTGAAAAGCGATTAAAGATTTTGAATAGAGAGGAGGACATTACTGCAGAAGCGTGGAGTAGCATTCGCAAAGCCTGACCGGACACTCGTCAGTTGCAAGGTCAAGATAACTGCACTCTGACGCTCTAATTGAGCAGTCACAACTTCCAGAAAGGCAAGAGAGAAAATCACCTACGATTGCTATTCAGATATCTATTCAAATACCCTCAATAGACACTTCCCCTCACTCACATAAGAAATAAAAGCGAATGGATCAATCGTTTCATCAATTCTCCTCTCCGAAATCCGACATACCACCTTGGCGGTGAAGAATAGAGCTGCACCTAGTCGAATAGACTGTGCAATAAAACAATGTTGGTACGTCATCGGTATGTCTCTTTCAAAGCCTTGATGAGTCAAATTGGCTTGCACTATATCAAAACAAATGCTCTCAAATCAAAGCAAATAAAATTTGTTACATAAATTCTCAATCGCATAGCAAGCAGCATTTTCTTAATACTCACCGCTTTGTTGTTTACAGTCCTCCACTTGCATTTGATTACTTGGCACACAAAGTTTACACAGAGAGGAGTGCACGTGGCTTAGATCAAAATATTGACGTTCAGCATTCATTTTTGCGGTTTATCTTCCGATTTTTGGCATTAATCGAAATGCTTCAAGGTTCGCGCAGTGAAGTCATATATTTTTGTCGAGGACACTAACTTCTATTTTAGAATCTTCTCCGTTATGAGTCTCTGTCCTATGCGAACCTCGTGGAGTGTTTGGGTTGATTCTATGTTTAGCAGATCGGTGTTCTTTTATTAGTACACGGAAAATCTCAAAGGCTTGGATTGCGGCTTACAGTGAGATGTTGCTATTGTTGCTTTTCCTCTTGTCTTCGTACTATAATGAAATGAAAGTATTTTCTTCATTTTGGAATACTCTCGGAAAATGGTTATGTACAAGAGAGTTTGGATTCAAACAAAAAAACAAGAAAAAGTGCAATTGCTTACTGTTACTGAATTCTAATAATGCGACATTCGTTCTTGAATACCACGATTTTTTCTTTAATCAAAAGTAAGGGAAAGGTTTGAGCTTAGGCTTAAGCTTAAAGTCAGATGTTCTTTCATGTATCGCTCCTTTCGTGGCAATTATCATGTCTCCGCCTTTACACTACATGGTAGAAAAACTGAAATGAATATAAATTTTCTTTCTTTGCCAAGTTCTAACGAACAACGAACGCAACATTTCTATTTTCTGACGTGAGTTCACGTTTTGTCATACTCGCATATATATTATATATATATATATATATATCATATATATATATATATATACATATGTATATACATAATTAAGCTTACAGAAGCATAAAGAATTTCTATCTTTCTCTATACTTTTAGTGTTATTATCTGACTTGAAAAGACAGTTAAAACCTCCATTATAGTTTTTTTTTGTTTTCGTTACTTCTCTTTCTAAGTCTTTTCCTCTTCCTTTGCTTTATATAGACATATGGTACTCAAAGAGGAGTCGTTTTTCTGTGGAACCAATGATTTGTTTAGTTTTGTTAATATTGTCTCAAAGCACTCATTGTTCTTCTTAATTTTTATCGGCAAACCATAATTAAGATAGGACACTACTGACTGAAGAACGGCGGTTCTAAGTTCGTTGGAGTTAACTTTAGTGTGAGAGAGACTTTTCATTTGGAGATGTTATGTTACATATCGTTTTGGTCCAGACTGAAATTTCGATTTATTTGTTAACAAGACAGTCTTTGTCAACAGAATTACACGCATGACTAATATTGTACAATCGCTCTCAATGAATGACATGGTCTTTCTTACCACAGTAAGAGATACGTTATCGTTTCATTATCACGTGAACATCAGAACGCAAAGTCATTTTCTCAAATGTTTCTATAACAAATTAGAAGTAACATAGTCTATAGCATACAAAGCGAGTCTGAAAAAAATTGGAAAAGTCCGTTATTCTACTCTTGTGAGTATTTTTCGGAGAGCCGATCTTTCATGATTGAGATCTGTTTGATTTCAACGTACTCCCTACCGATATTATTGTGGGCAAATGCGAATGACATGAAGTTTTCTCAGTTGTGTATAGGAAAAAAAACACCTAGTACGATGTTTTATTACATACTACTTTACAGTTACTACTGCAAATATATCGTATGTCCTTACAGAATCGACCAATTGATAAATTTTCATCTGGTTAAAAACTGGATTCTCTAGAAAGCGCATTCTTACACTAATGAAAACATCATCGCGATAAATTTCACCCACTTGTACGATTTG